TGTTATGGAAGGTAAAAGGTCAATTGACAATTGCTATATTCTAACTAACATATCTTCTGTTGCAGGACCAGCATAGATGAAGCTGAGCTATGGCACCAAAAATTGGGGTATCTAAGTTACAGACTACTTGATAAAATAATGAAGATAGAAGGTGTTCGTGGTTTACCCAAGATAAAAGTCGAATCAACCATTTGTGGTGCCTGCCAAGCTGGGAAACAAACTAAATCATTTCATCCAGCTCAACATACCATAAACACGAGTCACTGCCTAGAACTGATCCACATGGATCTCATTGGTCCTACTCAAACAGAGAGTTTTGGAGGTAAAAAATACATACTGGTATGTGTTGATGTTTTTCGTGGATAATCTTTCTCAGGGGAAAATCCAAGCACTTGAAGCTTTCAAAATACTAGGACTGAAACTCCAAAAGGAAAGAAATGAACCTATTATTCGAATTCAAAGTGATCACGGACGGAAATTCGACAACAACTTGTTCGATGCCTTTTGCAATCAATCAGGAATTACCCGCAAGTATTCAGCACCAAAGACACCTAAACAAAATGGAGTTGTTGAATAAAAAAACCACACCATTCAAGAAATGGGACGAGTCCTGCTCAACGCCAAAGGATTACCTCAAAAATTCTGGACAGAAGCTGTAAACACCGCATGTCACATCCCCAACCGAGTCTATCTTCGGCCAGGCACAAGTTAAACACCGTATGAATTATGGAAAGGTAAGAAACTGAATATTAAATACTTTCACATTTTTAGCTCACGATGTTTTATTTTGAAGGATAGAAATCCTGTTGCAAAATTTGAACCAAAAAGCGACGAGGAGATATTTCCCGGTTATTCAACGAACAGCAGTGCATATCATGTATACAAAAAAGTGACCAAGACCATCATGAAGTCTACAAATGTTGTAATTGATGATCAACCGTATGATATTGTTGAAATTTCACAACCTATATCAGTGACAGAACCTAACGCAAACCTTTCTGAAACTCCTGATCCTGAAACTCCTGAACCAGATCCAGAATCACCCACGCCATCTGAACCTGACCCAGAACAAGAATTAGAATCTGACACTGATCAAGACGACATTGACATTCCAACACGCATCCACAATAGATCACCCATCTTCAAAAGTAATTTTGCCATCATCTTTGGTGATAAGGTCTACAGGTTCATTAATATCTAATTCCTTTGTTGATTTCATGAATATTTTAGGGTGTCATTGTCTAATGTGTCATGTGAAATACCTGCAAATTTTTCTATGTCCAAAGCTGAGTCTTTATGTGTTCCTTTACCTAATTTGGTGCCCTATACTTCAATATCCTTGCACTCATCAAATCTTGACATTTCTTCATCTTTGCCAGTGTAATATTCTGCATCTGTGATAGGATCTGTTTTAGGATCAGGGAAATTATCTTTTAAATTAATGGTTCTGTTCCTACATGCTCTCACACTGCATATATGTTTTATTTGGAGTGTGTCTATGTTTGATTTTCCCTCTATTTTTTCTTTTTTAATTTTCTCGCAATTAGTCCTTTTTGTTGCCTACTACTCTCTGTGTTTACTAAACTGCAAGTTAATTCTTTGCGTTTTGTTCTTGACTGTTTTCTATGTGTTTACTAAATGTTCTACTTGCGTTGTTTTGAGTGCTTTTGAACTGGTAAACCTATTTTTGCTTAGGTTATTTTATTGGTGTTTCTTGAGTTGAATCTTTGAATTCTCTATGGTTACTTGAATGAAAATTTGATGCAATTTGTTTAATATTTGTATTCTCCTGTGTTACTATGTGAATGTGTTTTTATTGGTCCGGTCATGACCGTATCGGTGTTTGCTTGTGTACTTATTGTGCTAACTGTTATGAATTCTTGCCTGAAGTTGATTTATATGAATTTGTGCCTGATTTTGATCTATTTGAATCTCTGGCTGAATATGCTTTACATGACCGTGTTTGTTTTGTTTGTGTGTTTTACCGTGCTATCTGGTATGAATCTGTGCTTGACTTGGGTTTATATGAATCTGTGCGTAAATGGCTCTATCTGAATGTGCTTACTGTATTATTTACCTATCTGTCTTCTTGAGTGACCCAATTGTGTGCTTTTATCTGTCTTCTTGAGTGACACAATTGTGTACTTTTTGTGTTATTTGCTACAAATTTGTGCTTAAATGCGTTTGTTACTTGGTGTGTGTTATCTACTTAATCTGCTTCAACTTGACTTGTGCTTATATGTTATTTGTTACAATTGTTATCAAGTTCTGCGTTTCTCGTTTCTAATTCTCTTGTGCAGGATCAGTCCAATAGGGCACTCCGTCAGACTCAATCCACTAATATAGATGTTCACATTTGTCAATTTATTAGCAAAAAGGAGCAGTATATACTAAGGGGGAGTATGGTTGGAATAAGGGGGAGAATTATAATCATGATTTTTGGTTGAAGTATGCCTTGTGTTGGTATGTTTGGGAATCTGGATAATTTCTCTTTCTGGTTTTCTGGGCTTCTCTTATTATTGAGCGACTTTCAAACATTGGAATTTTATTGGAAGATATCTCTATATAGCTTACTTGTTGAGTATGAAGTCTTATGGATGGAGCACGGTCCAATGTGTCTTGGTAATTTTGATAAATTCTAAATCATAGGATCTTTTTGTCAAGCACATATACTAAGGGCTATTTTTAATGAAATTATTTGAATTAACTATTTTCTCTTTGCTCTAAGTATATATGTCTTAGTTTTTGCCAAAATAAATTGCCAAAGGGGGAGATTGTAAGTGTACAAATGATACACGTTAGACCCATTTATGTTGGCTAATTTAATTGACAAAATAATCAAGATTCATATTGGAATTAACATATGGACCATGGACCGTCTCTTATCAAAAGGTATGTCTTTATCTTCTACAGCATGAGTTTATTCGGAGGTGTTCGAAATTATGAAGAAAATACTCATTATGAATATGATTGTTAATCAAGCTTGAAGAAATTAATCAAGTGGTCTTGGTTAATTGGTGTTAATAATGGAATTTATCTTTGCATGGATTTGTTACAGTTTGGCATTGAAGTGGTAAGTGAAAAAGTGTGGTGTGTATTATATTAGAAAATTAAAGTATGGTTTGATGAGTGGATGAAATTAGTATGGAAGTCAGCTTACACATGGAATGAGGTATTCAAATAAAAAATGTGTGGCCTGGGATTAATGAAGATTATGAGATGCTGATTTCAAGGATCAATGTAATGCATATCCATTGCTATAAAAGGAAGCCACTCAAAGAAGAAAGTTGCCAATTTTAGAATTGATATTCTAAGTGCATACTTTCTCTACAAAGAGACCTAATTTAAACTGTCTATATTGTTTATTTGCTAAGAGTATTTAATCTGAGCTACGTGATCTGTACCTGGTACTGCTGAAGCTTATTTGGAAGAATATAATATTGTGACATGTGCATTTCAGTCCCGAATAGGTGTTAGGAAGGATTGTAGTGGTAAAGGCTGAAGATCGTTTGTACTTACCTCTTGTAATACTCCTTTGGTGAACATCTATAGTGGATTGGGCAGACGTGGGTTGCCCCGCAGACGTAGGAGAAGCGCTCCGAATTGCGTAACAATTCTTTTGTGTTTTTACTTTATTTTATGCTTTCTACCTTCATTATTTATATTTGTTTAACAAATTAAATTAATGAACGTAATTGGTGCATAACATAAAAAAAAACAAGTAAAAATATACATTACATCTTGCATTCAAGACTCACGGTGCAATTTCAGTTGTTTCCCGCCCTTGCAGGATCAATGCATTATTCGAATCCAGGCGGGATTCCTCGTCAACCCGAAGATCTTCCGAATCTAACGATGCTAACAAGTCTTGGATTGTGAGTCTGATCTCAGAGTTCATATATACTGTACTCCCTAGCTTCCTCACTTCGCAATTTAATTAGCAGACCTTAATGGAACAGTTGAGTTATCCCTCTGCTATAAGCATGTTTGATGATATAGTGAATTCCTTCAAAGGGAAGATTGCCATGTTTCTTCATTATGATGGCACTCTTTCCCCCATTGTTGAAGACCCCGACAAAGTTTTTATGGGTCCCGAGGTTGGTTAAACATTAGAATTGTTTTTAATTTCATCTTTAATTTTATTATCTAAATATATAATAAAAAATTTATCCATGTATCGCACGGGTAATTGGAAAATTATTTGCTCGAATTCAAGCAAGGATAACATTAAAAAATATAATCTATTCAATCTATTTCATCAACTGCACTATATAATATTCGTTGTTATAATTTATATTTGTATAACGATCCAAATATTCTTAAAATATTATAACAAATTCATTTCGGTGAAAATACTAGTAAAAAATAAAAATAGAAATAAAATCAACAAGGTTGATGGCTAATAGATCTGGATTTACTATGATAAACTAGAAACAAATTCATTGTCGGTCTTTGTTTACACCATTTGGGGAAACTTTTCCTTATGGTGATAAAATGGCAAAATAATTCAAATCCGTGAATTGTTTTTAAAACTATGAAAGAATGGAAATAATAGATTTTGACACGTAATTAGATGGATGAGTCATGCATTAGGTGTCATAGCGATAAAAAAAAAAAAAAAAAAAAAAAAAAAAAAAAAAAAAAATCAATGTCAATTCAATAGTGAGTTTATTCTATTTTTTAATTAATTTTATTTTTTGATCCTACGACTTTTGAAGTTCTATCACTTTTTATACATAATTTTAAAATATTTAAATTTTGGTGCTTAACTTTATTATTTTTATCAGCTTTGATCCTTTTCGGCCAAACTGACGGCGAAATCTTGCCAAATTTTATATTTTAAGGGTAAAATTGTCATTCCAATGAAAATCTTCAAATCTAAACAAAATTACTGTAAAATTAAATCATATCTATAGGTGTTTAATCGATGAGAATAATGGATAAGACGGGCATAAACTAGACACAGATCTATGAAATTTATAGCATCGACATTGACAAACCCTTCTTTTTCTCTTAATATGATTTTTCGTTTGTTTAGATATTGAAGATCTTTCCTTAGTATGATGATTTCGACCCTAAAATATTAAATTCGGTAACATTTCACCGTCAATTAGACCGAAAAAACCAAAATTGATAAAAATAACAAAGTTATACATCAAAATTTAAAAAAAAAAAAAAAATTACACCAAAAGTGATAAAATTTAATTTCAAAAGTCGTGGAGAGTAAAAGTGAAATTAATTCTCTATTTTTTGTTATTCAATTACAATAATAATACCTTTTTTATCATTCGTTTTAATTTGTTTACATTTAGATTTTGTCGAAACTCTAAAAATAATAAATTAAAATTAAAATTAAAATCATATCCAATTCAATCATGATCTTATTCAATTGTAATAACGTTTTAATTATATTTTACCATTGATTTTAATTAAAATTTGTTTAGTCATTTGAAATTAATGAAATAAAATTAAATTCTTTGAAAAACAGATCCATGCCACTTTAAGACCTTCAAAACTTTGCTCACGTTATTTGAAATTAACTAATCTCATTAGTAGTAATTAATGGTTAAAATGACATTATTTGAAAATGATGCATTGTATGACCCATTTTATTAGAAATTTTGTTCTAAAGCTAAAAATTTGTGATGAGTGATTCAAAATTTTATCATATATTATTTACTAATTGACGGATTTTATTAGAAAATAATTAAATCAAATTACATTGTTTGAAAATTGATGCACTGTAGGCCGTCAAACCCACGCGTGATCTGACGATCTGGCAATGACCTGCATGGGGTCAGAAATTTAAATGAATAATGAAGAACACAACACTTGAGTTCTACCTAACCAATGCAAATGGTCCCCCAAATTCCAAAGGAAAATCTCAAAATCCAAAATGTTACATTGTACGTAAAAGATATAATAACATATGTTGGTCATAGAGCAACTGCTGAACCTACCAAAATAATTTCAAAAGTTTTTTTGTTGCTAATTACAAAGTGTTTGAATTAAAAAAAAAAAAAAAAAAAAAAAAATGACAGATGGGAAACACCTCAACCAAGTTAGTGAAGTTATTAACTTTGTAATCACAAGGTTACAAGTTTAACTTCTAGCAATCATGGTTGAAAAATTGCAAGTTACTCTTCGGGCGCTTAGACAGCGATTAATTGGCTCCTAGCTGCAAATGTATTTTTCATTTTTAAAAAATTTGTTTAATTTTTTTTAATTTTTTAAGACTTAATAATTATAAACTATTTAATACTTTAATAGTTAATACTAAAAAACGGTTGGTGATAATGAACCAAAATCAATTTAATATCCCAAAATAATATTTATATATACACACACAAGTATATAAAATATTATTTGATATATATATCCGAAATATATATATATATATTTATATATATATATATATATATATATATATATATATATATATATATATATATATATATATATATATATATATATATATATATATATATATATATATATATAAATCATATCACCATGGTTATATGCATGAATATCTACGGAAAAGATATATACATATCAACCAAATGGAACTTATAATCCACAGATTATAATTCCAACCAAAGTATATCAAAAAGAGAGAATTTTTTCTTAGAAGCATAATCCAAAATCGAAAGAAGGAAAAGATGGCTCGTGTTTGGGTAAGGGTTTTTAGCGTGAGTCAAGAGACCATTCTTTTTTTAAAACCTTATTTGCCACCTCCCAAAAGTGCTAGGAGCGCCGTGGCCTAGGTTTCCCGGGATAAAACGCGCTTCGGTTCGACGTTTGAGCACCCAAACGAGCGAACCCGGCGAACTAGAGCAAAGCCTTGAACACAATTAGGCTTAAGAAAGGAGTAAAAGCAGAGTTTTGAGGAGAGAAAACCACTTCCTGTGTTGTGTGTTCTTGTCACTATGTGCTTCGAAAATCTGCTGCCCTCTACCCCTTCTTATATAGGGATGTAGTACCTTAATAGCATTAAACAAGGCCATTTAAACTTGGCTTTGTAACATCTGAAACAGCAAGCCATTACCCAAGATTTAAATTCAAAATTGAAACTGGAGTTAATTGAAAATTAATCCGTAACTGAAGAATTTAATCCCACATTTGTCTGTTGGTATTCAGCCATCCCAGACTGGCTAAGTTTCGGCCCCAGGCCGAAACCATACTGCTTCGGTTTCGGCCTGGCCGAAACTACAAGCCAAGTTTACTATGATAGTAACCTAAATCGATTTATATTCTGTAGTCCTTTGTCAACTAAGGTCACAATACGAAATTTACTAAGTGCATATCCTCAAATAATAGTCGTGGGTTGCTCTCATTACTCCAAATACATGACACTATGAATTTGACTAGCATAACATATGTAACTTAATTAGCAAGTAAAGTCAAATATTAATACTCATTCTATCTCATTTTACTTATCATGTTTTTTTTTTTTTTGTCAACCAACTCTTTCATTCTTTACTTATTTTCTTTAATATTTTCATATAATTTTTATATTTAATATTTTTTATTTAATAGTCATTTTAGTTTAGTTTTTAAATACATAAATTATATATGCTAATAGTAAACTAAATATTACGAAAAATTGAATTGTAGATAATTTATTTTTATTGTAAAGGAAGGGGGTCGGGATATACCCACATATACAAGCTATTACATCAAATGTTACTATAATCACCTATTCACCTTCACCAAAATTTGAACCCACCACTTTTTACATAGGGGAGCAACTTGGTACCATTAGACCACAAAATCCTTGATATTAAATCAAGTATCATTGATAGATTAAACTAAACACATAAAATAAAATAAAATGGAGTAATAAATATTCTAACAATGTACTCAGAAAAGTATTATTCCTATAACATTCTTTCATCTTATTAGAGCTGAGGAAGAAATAAAAAGAAACAAAAATGTTGCCATCTTATTATGATGATGAGATAAATTAAATTATATTAAAGAGCAGCGGCGCACTATTCCAACTAGGAGAAAAGATAATTCTTTTTTTTTTTTTTTTTTTTTTTGAATGCTACTAGCTCTATTACAATGTAGTATCTTGTTATGAAAAGAGTATCTTCAACGGAGCTTATCCATGGTCTTAATATTGTGTCCAAACAAAAGAAGGTGGAGATGACCAAATCCAAGATTACACAGACTATCCATAATTAACAAAATGTTTGACAAAATTTTCTATTTCTCATTAATCTTTTATCTTTGAGATAGATCGAATTTTCCGTAACTATTACACTTTTTTTCGTAAGTAATTATTCAACACCTAAATATTATGTTTTGATTTAAAAGTATTACTTCGTACTTTTTTCCTAAAAAGTATAACAGTTTTCATAATAAGTATTACGTTTTTCATCAATTAATTTATCAATGATTAGTACTCCATCTGTCACATTTTATCTGTCCTACTTAATATTCATTTGTCAAATCAACTCATTTTTCTTTGTTATTTTCTTTAGTATTCTTTACTTATTTTTAAATTTGATTTTTTGTGTTTAATAGTACTTTTAGTGTAATTTCTAAATATATAAATTTTATATACTAATACTAAAATTAATATTATGAAAAATTAGATTAAAAAAATAACTTTAGCCAAGTCTCGTTAACCAAATCGACACATAAAATGAGACGGAGGGTGTATTACATTTTTTCTTATAAGTAACTTTTCAACTCCTAAATGCTACGTTTTGATTTAAAAATATTACATTTTTCATATAAAAATAAAAAGTATCACATTTTCCTTGGTAAGTGACAATTAATTTATCTATTATTAATATTACAATTTTCATCCTAAGTATTACATTCTTTCTATATTCAACCTGTCTCACGAAAAAAAAAAAAAAATCCATGAAATGATCTTACAGGAGACTCACCCATTCAAATGTTTTATATGATGAGAATATAATTGTGTTGTATTCAATAATAATGTCTGAGAGTACAGGGAGCGAATATATCGAGATGCTAGATAGAATCCTAGTCTAACACGAATAATATAGTCCTAGTCTAATATGAATAATAGAGTCCTAATACTCCCCCTCAAGCACAAGTTTGGTCAACCAAAACATTGAGCTTGGAACGGAGTAAATTAAAACGTACAGACGAAAAGACTTAGTAAAAATATCCGTTATCTGATCTTTGGTAGAAATAAAATTGACTTGTAATTCCTTCTTTGCTACTTTATCGTGAACAAAGTGGTAGTCGATCTCAATGTGTTTGGTGCGAGCATGAAACACCGGATTAGCACATAGATAAGTAGCACCCAGATTATCACACCAGAGTTTGGGCGCAGAAGGTGGCGCAAACCCGAGTTCCTTCATCAGAGATATGAGCCAAGTAGCCTCTGCAGAAACATCAGCGAGTCTTTTGTATTCTGCCTCAGTTGAGGAACGAGCCACATTACGCTGTTTTCGACAAACCCATGAGACAAGATTGGTCCCCAAAAACACAGCAAAACCACTGGTAAATTTTCGATCATCAGGATTGCCAGCCCAATCGGAATCAGAATAAGCATGAATATCCAGAGAGTGAGAGGAAGTAATTTTAAGACCGAGATGTAGTGTCCCATTTACATATCGTAACACCCTCTCGAGAGCCGTCCAATCCGCAGTGGAGGGAGAGTGCATGTGCTGACACAAACGATTGACTGCATAGGAAAGATCAGGACGAGTTACCGTAAGATATTGTAGAGCACCTGCAAAGATGCGATACTGAGTGGGATCAGCATATGGCACCACGGCACCAGTCTCGATTTTCGCGGTTGAAACCGGAGTGGCCACGGGCTTGCAATCACCCATACCTGCCCGTTTTAAAATATCCTTCATGTACCGTTGTTGAGACAGAAGCATGCCACCAGACAACGAAATAGTCTCAATACCCAGGAAAAAAGAGGGCACTCCCATATCACGAACTTTAAATTCAAGAGCCAACTTGTCAATAAGATCAGTCACATGAGCCGAATCAGAACCCATAACCAAAATGTCATCCACATAAACCAGAAAATATAGACGAGTATTGCCATGTGAATATATAAATAAAGATATATCAGTCTTGGAAGGTGAGAAACCAACAGAAACCAGAAAATCATGCAAACGTGTGAACCAAGCACGGGGAGCTTGCTTAAGCCCATACAAGGAACGTTGAAGGAGACAAACGTGTCCGGGCATCGTTTTGTCTTCATAGCCAGGGGGGTTGGCGCATATAAACTGTCTCAGCAAGATTGCCGTTTAGGAAAGCATTGTGTATGTCTAGCTGTCGAATAGTCCATCCACGAGAAATAGCTAGGGATAAGAGAAGACTTACCGTAGTTGATTTAACAACGGGACTAAAGGTCTCAAAGAAATCCTCACCGGCAATCTGATTGAATCCCTTGGCAACTAACCGAGCCTTGTAACGCTCAATCGAACCATCAGCCTTTCTCTTGGTTCTAAACACCACTTACATCCAACTACATTCATACCTGATTTAAAGGGAACAAGCCTCCATGTATTGTTGTGCACCAAGGCATTAAATTCCAAATCCATTGCATCCCGCCATTCAGGAAATTTAATCGCTTGAGTAAAACATGTAGGCTCAGGAGTAACAGCAGCAGATAAAGCAACATGATCATGTGGTCCCGAACTTCTCGTATTCATTCCATGAGAGCAAACAGGTGAGGGCGCGGGACGAGACCAACCACAAGGCCGGCCTCTTGGCCGAGGAGCCGGCTGGTCCGTGACTGTCCGCTCGGACTCGGTCACGGGCTCGGCAGTAGCAGGCTGCTGGCGGTGGTGGTCAGAAGCGGGTATGGGCGCGGCATGAGGGTCACTAGCCGTGACAATAGTCGGATCACCACCAGAAACAATTGGTGCAACACCCCACAGCTCCGGGCGTGGTTTTAGAACCTGCGAATCCACAGAAGCAACAAAAGGAAAGACAGCCTCATTGAATCGCACATGGCGACAGATAAAAACCTTGTTAGTGTTAGTGTCTAAACAACAATAGCCACGAAAAGATGGAGGATATCATAGAAAGACACAAGGGGATGACCGAAACTGTAGTTTGTTGCAATTATAGGGACGCAGATTTGGAAAGCATAAACACCCAAAAACACGCAGATATGAATAAGATGGAGGAAACCGATGCAAAAGATAATGAGGAGATTTATCATATAAGACAGGAGTGGGCATTTTATTGATTAGATAAACTGCAGTTTCAAAAGCATAATCCCAAAAACGAGAAGGAACAAAGGATTGAGCCATTAATGCTAGTCCCGTTTCAACAACATGCCTATGCTTACGTTCTACCCTACCATTTTGTTCATGAGTATACGCACAGGATTGCCTGTGACGAATACCTAAGGACACAAGAGTGGAACCAAGTTTTTTATATTCTCCCCCTAAATCAGATTGAAAAGAAATAATCTTGCGAGAAAAGGAACGTTCAAATAGTGACCGAAACTTATCAAATATAGCACACAAATCAGATTTAGCACGCATGGGATAATACCACATATAACGAGTGTAATCATCCACAAACAACACAAAATATTTAAAGCCAAATGCAGAAAGTAATGGCGCAGGGCCCCAAATATTTGAATAAATTAATTCCAAAGGATGTGTACTAGTAGTTTCGACACGAGACAAAGGAAAACGAGAAGATTTTCCTAATTGACAAGAGGACCAGACATTGGGAAGATCACTAGAATTAAATGTACCAACAGACGAAGACGCTAAAATTTTACGTAAGACTCGAGAATGAGGATGCCCCAACCGCATGTGCTAAACGTGAGAGGACCGTGCAGCAACAAATGCAGCAGGGGAAGCAGAAGACGCAGGCCATATGTAGAGACCCCCAGACGCATGTCCCTTAAAAAGAACCTTCTTGGTCAAAATGTCTTTCACATAGAAACAAAGAGGGTGAAACTCAAAGAAAACATTATTGTCCTTTGCAAAAAGTTGGACAAATAATAGAGAAGAAGAGAGACCAGGGACATGCAAAACATCATGTAACTTAAAAGACATAGAATCAGTAGCTAACGATGCAGAACCAACATTAACGATAGGCAAACCTGTACCATTGCCGACTCGCATAGTCTCCGAGCCATCATAACTTGTCGTAGAAGTCTTCAAAGAAGAATCAGGCGTAGCATGATTTGTAGCACCAATGTTAGGGAACCACTGATGAAGACCGTTGGAATCACCATTATCACCAGAGACGGCCACATTAGCCTGAAAACCCGGAGCCCCTGAATAACGCCGAAAACAGTTGGCTCCCGTGTGACAAAAACATTTACAAATTTGACAAGGATCATCATAGCGCCAAAAACAATTGGCTCTCGTGTGACCAAAACGGTTACAAATTTGACACGGATCATCATAACACCAAACACAATTGGCTCCCATGTGGCCGAAACCTTTACAAATTTGACACGAATCATCAATGTCACGTCGTTGACCGGACCGCTTCTCATACGGTGTATCTTGGTTCGATGCCATCGACTACTGCTACGAAGTGAGGAACGTGGATGTTGGAAAAGAAACCCTAGCTAACTGATACCAGATGAGAATATAATTGTGTTGTATTCAATAATAATGTCTGAGAGTACAGAGAGCGAATATATAGAGATGCTAGATAGAATCCTAGTCTAACACGAATAATATAATCCTAGCCTAATATGAATAATAGAGTCCTAATATATATATCAAATTATGTAATCGAGTAACATATCTTTGAAACTTTAAAAAATAGATAACATGTTAAATTCTTGTTTTTTTAAAACATTAAAAAGTGATGTTTTATGGTGTAAATCCGATAATTACTATTCTCTAAAATTAAAGGAAAAAATTAATTGGAAAAAATAAGTAAAAGTCAAAGGTAATCAAGTGCTTTACCTTGTAGCTGAAGTATTATATTTATGTATGTTGGATATATATGGGTTGGTGAGTCGAGCAGACTCCAGCTTCCATGTTCTATGTTCAGACTGGTACGTCCATATTATGTACACCTTTGATGGGTGATTTAAGCTAAGATTGCATTATTCTTAATTGGTATTAATGAGAGTGGCTGTTTTGTGTCAATTTGATGCAGGGTTAATGATTGTATTTTTAATTTGTGTGAGAATGAAATCACTTGCATTAAGATTTAATAATAAATAAGATAAATTTTATTACATATATTATTATTTTACTTTTATTATTTCTTAATGTGACAATTAACACCTCATTGATGATATCATGCTAGGTTACGCTTCAACAACAACAAAAAACAATAATATAATATATAATATATAATAATAATAATAATAATAATAATAATAATAATAATAATAATAATAATAATAATAATAATAATAATAATAATAATAATAATAATAATAGATGGATTAGAGTTAGGACTAAGAAAGGATTATTTTGTCCTAACTTTTCATCTCACATTCCATTGAATTGTAAATCATTGAGAATCTCAAAATTATAATTCGTCAAAAAGTAAATCTCACCTAACAATTTTAAAAATTTTCACTTTTTAATTAAAATGAGGGGAGAAATGAATTTTAGTAATTTTTTTATTCCGATTATAATTTTAATGCTATGCTTAAACCAAGTGTCCAAAATATTTTGGTTGTCATCTTTGACTACCGAATTTTGTTGGGATTTTGATTACTTTGCTTCAAAAATGGCCAATGCAATCTTTAATAAAAGGAAAAAAACTCCAAATAGACCGCCGAATCATTATCCATGAGACTGGTTCAAGTCCTCATAAGTATTACACTTTTCCTCTTAAGTATTATTCTGTATATTTTTTCTAATAACTCTTCAACCCCTAACGGGGCGTTTGGTTAGTTGGAGAGAAGAAATTAGGTGGGAAATGAATTATTGTAATTCCATGGAAGAAATTAGGTGGGAAAAGAATTGCAATTCCATGAGAGATGAATAATGAGGGAATAAAGTGGTAATTTAAATTCCAGTGTTTGGTTTGCAGGAATAGAATTACTGGGAATTTCAATTCCAATGTTTGGTATACATGGAAATTGAAAAGGAATAAGTAGTATAAAGTTCGCCAAGCACCTTGCGCTCAGATGGCATGTAGTGACTCTCCCATATGGGAGGTTATGAGATCGAGCCTTAGTAGAGGCAGTGTTGACTCTTTATGCTCAACACGTTGAGAAAGTATAGATGAACACATATTACAATGTAATAGAGTTAGTAGCATTTTAAAAAAAAAAAAAAAAAAAAGTAGTATAAAGTCCAAAATGCCCATACTTATTATTACAATGCCCATCACGAAAGCAATTAAATATATTAGAGAGTTTTGAGAAAACATATTTAGTTGAGGAAAAAAAAAAAAGTAGTATAAAGTCCAAAATGCCCATACTTATTATTACAATGCCCATCACGAAAGCAATTAAATATATTAGAGAGTTTTGAGAAAACATATTTAGTTGAGGTTGGCCTACAGATTGACATTCTGTGTTGAGAGTAAAAGAAGGAGAAGACATGCTATATAATCGAAAGAGAGGTCAAACATCAATTTTAGGTTAAAGAAAAGAGGGGTAATTTTAATTTGTCTCAAAGTTAATTTTTTTTTCCTTGCTAAAATCCATGGAATTGAAATACCGGGAGGGGGGGGGGGGGGGGGGGGAGGGGGGCATGGGATTCTAATTCAATGAAAATGAGAGAATTTCAATTTCGCAGATTTGCAATTCCCTGGCCTCCAACCAAACGAAGGAATTTGCCCGTCTTCGGAATTATGTGGGAATTAAGTTGGAATGAAATTGTAATTCACTCCAACCAAACGCCCCGTAAATATTATAATTTTATTCAAAAGTATTACATTTTTCATAAGTAAAAATCAAGTTATGCATGATTAGTATTACATTTTTCCTCAAAATATCAGATTTCCCCTCATAAGTAACATTTAATAAATTTTTCTCCGATTAATATTACACTTTTTCGTCATAAACAACTCTTCTACCATTAAATATTAAATTTTGATTTAAAAGTATTACATTTTTCATAAAAAAAATATAGCAATCAAATTATTGATTAGTATTACACTTTTCATCATAAGTATTATGTTTTCATCTAAACCCAATCCATCTCACATGAGAGTCACCCTTAATAAAAACAATAATAAGATAAAAGTACGTGCCCCATGAGACTTAGCGTAGTTGGTCCGTCGTTGGAAATAAAGTTGATGACTTTAGACGGTAGTGCGAGAGTTCGAATCCACTTATCCAGTAGAAACATATATGGGGGAAATGGCGTAGGATCTGATTGTACAACCATACTGGAGTCACCTAAGTTTTTTGTATTTTAAAAAAAAAAAAAAAAAAAAAAAGGTGAAATTCGGAGAGGGGTTTGAGTTGGAAGTCCATAAGAATATATGAACTTGTTTGACAAGTTTGTGATTTATTTTAAGCAAATCTTAGTCAAAAATTCATCCTAGTGTGTCAACTGAAGGGCGTTTAAAACACGCATAAGGAATTCAGCATTCACAAAACTTAAAGATTGGGTAGGAATATGAATTAGAGAGTACTTATTTTTTGAATGGCATTAACTCAGAGAGTACTTATTCAATATTAGAATCAAACTCTTTTTGACAACTCAATCAGGATAGAAATGGTAAATGCTAATATTTCCAAAGGAAAAGGTACAAATAGACTATCAAATTATTTAGGAAATAACAATTAAGCCACTGAACTTGAAAAAACTCCAAATTAATTCACGAACTTGAAAAAATGTTACAATTAACATTATTAGCAGGTTATCATCATGTTTTGTTGATTAAATTGCCATGTGTAATTATTATTATTATTATTATTATTATTATTATTATTATTATCATCATATATTCAGTGGCATAGGCCAAATGTACACTGCTAAAAATTATGAAATTTTCGACCACTTAAAAGTAATCTTATATCAAGTTGAAAATCTTGTTCTGACCACTTTTGGTATCCGAAAAAAATCTTTATTGCTATTTTCGACTATTTTTTACCTTCGACTTGATTTAAAACCACTTTCAGGTGGTCGGAAATTCCATAATCTCCAGCAATGATAGATAAGCATGCAACACCATTGATTCAACAAGCTAGATTGTAGCTAGTATTGTATAGGTGCTTCATTCTAAGCGAGAGAAGCTTGGAAATGGCAATGATGGTGTTAGGAGTTGTCCTACAGCAGCCTCCCACCAGCGAAGCACCAACCTCGCACCATTTGCCAACATACGACACGAAGTCTGCGTCGTTGGTAACGACGCAACCGGCCACATTATTTAGGTATTAGGAATTTAAAATTTGACTTTTAATTGGGTCAAATGCTTACATATATTCCAAGATAATAATAATAAGAGTTAATTCCACCAAAGGTCTTTTATTTTCGGTGGCAATTCTAAATTTAATCTCATACAGTGGTGGATTCAGAAATTTTCTCCAGTGAGGCAGAACATTAAAATAAAAGAGATAATTTGAAAAAAAAAAAAAAAAAAAAAAAAAAAAAAAAAAAAAAAAAAAAGAAAAAAAAGAAACACTTAAGAAGTATAGCTATAAATATTGTTTGATATGAACGAAAAATAAAACACACCAAAACTTTATAAAAATATTCATAACGAAATATGAAACATAATTAACTTGATAAAATAATTCGAATAAAAAACATATTATAAATCACACATCTCATTAATAATAATAAAAAAAGGGTTTATATAATAGACTCATTATTAATATTTTATACTATTAAGGATCAATAATATTGAAAAAAAAAAAAAAGGTGTGTTGAAAGTTGAAACCACATTAATATTTTGCACATAATAACAGTAAAAGGAAAAGCTAAGCATGTATTAAATGATTTGAACCCATGCCCTTTCCCCAAGATGAAAAGCATCCTTTGCCAATTAATCTAGCACCTCTTTTGTTAACTATTATTTATTTTCCTATACTCATAATAAATCATGTACTATATATACGTATATACATACAAGGATTATATATGGGGTGGGGGTGGGGTGAGTGGGGGCAGCTGCCCCCACTGCCTCCATACTGGATCGACCTCTGGTCCCAGACTATTTTGCCATTTAACATCCCAGACTATTATTTTTTGGACACTTTTAGTCCTTTTCATGAATTTTCCTATTTTTATTAAGGGCATTTTTGTCTCTTCATATTTTTCTTTTGTTATTTTTTTGGTTTCAACGAATTTATTTGGTTTAGGACTTTACTAAAAATCGGTTAAAAAATATAGTTACTACAAATCAGAGGTTACCTAAAGTTCTAAACCGATTAAACCGGTTGAAACCAGAAAAATAACAAAAGAAAAATATGAAAAGACAAAAATGCCCTTACTAAAAATAGGAGAAGTCATGAGAAGGACTAAAAGTGTCCAATAAAAATAGTCTGGGACTAAATTTGTAATTGTCATTAAAGACAGGGGACCTAGGGTGGAATTAACTCTAATAATAATAATAAAACATTATTACATATGACAATTTAATCAACCAAAACCCGATGGTAACCTGCTAATAATGTTAATTGCAACATTTTTCCGAGTTCGTGGATTAATTTGGAGCTTTTTCGAGTTCAGTGTCTTAATTGTTATTTCCCAAATAGTTCGATGATATATTTGTACCTTTTCCATATTCCTAATAATATATGGAGAGGGAGAATGAATTCTAGTATATATGCCTAGAATACAGAGTCCTAATATTGATTGCGATAAAAACAAAGTTTTAAGTTCGCCTCTTCATAGAGTTGTTTATTAGTCTTCCTGGTTTAATTAAATCCTTCAACTATGGGTGACCTAAAGTAGTTTACCTCATTGTTGTCCATTGCCGGCTGCGATCATAGGGTAGGCTCCATTCAGATACATTTGGGTAACAGATGCATGTTTTCCCGTAAATCATTTTGAAGAATAAAATTATTATTTTTAAATATATATTGTATTAGAGTTTTAATTATTCTAGTTATTAATTAATTATAATTTAATATCATTTTAAAATGTCATAAGGAGTCATCTTAGTTTATATATAATTATATACAAATAAGTATAAAGTCTTTTTTTTTTGGTTGCTCAAAAGTATCCCTCAAGCCGATAGCTAGGAGATTAATTTCCCGTCTCTAGCTACTGTCAGCACACTAATGGCATGTTTGGTTCATGTAATAGGTCAGGAATGGAATAACATTCCTTGGAATAAACCTATTCCATCGTTTGGTTGGATCATTTTGCCATGGGAATAGCATGCCTAGGAATGAGCTATTACCTTCGCATGGGGAATAGCCATTCCTAGGGGGGCCTTGGTATTAGCTATTCCCATGCCCTTGAGAATAGCTTTTATATCACAAATACCAAAAATACCCTTTGCACATTATATAATATTTATATTTATTTAATAAATATAGTGTATTATATAAATGTATATATTTAATTAATTATAATTTTTATCCATCAATCTTTTAATAAATAAATAAATAAATATACACACACACACACACACACACACACACACACATTTTGTAGCGTTTGCAATTGGCATTTTAAGAAAAGAAAAGTAATTTCTCAAAACACCGGCCGTGATAGTTTATTATTATATATATATATATATATATATATATATATATATATATATATATATATATATATATATATATATATATATAATTAACTGTATAAGACTCCTTAATTATGGAGCCTTGGCTCCTAATTAAGTAGTCTGCTCATCTGCATGCCTAGCGGATGGGCATTGCAAGCTTGCCTAGCGGATGGGCATTGCAATTGAAATTATGGAGCCTTCAGGCTCCTTTTATAGGAGCCTCAAGGCTCCATTCCTTACTTCTCCAACCGATGTGGGATAAGTGAGAAAATAAATATGTATTTGTATAATAATAATAATAATAATAATAATTATTATTATTATTATTATTGTTATTGTTATTGTTATTGTTATTCTCTCTCTCTCTCACACACACATACATATACATATATATAAATACAAATATAAATATAAATAAATAAATAAATAAATAAATATATATATATATATATATATATATATATATATATATATATATATATATATATATATATATATATATATATATAACATTCAGTATATCATAATCATATTCATTATTATTATTATTATTATTATTATTATTATTATTATTATTATTATTATTATTATTATTATTATGTATAAGGGTATTTATGTCTTTAAAACCTATTCTATTTCTATTCCATTAACCAACCAAACACTAGAATACAATTACTAAAGTCTATTCCTTCAGCCAACCAAACAACGGAATACAATTCATATTCTATTCCTTACCTATTCCATTCCATGTGGAATAGCATTCCTATTCCCTCCAAATTCATTCCGTGAACCAAACGTGCCGTAAGTGGTAGGGGACTGGCCAAATGGTTTATTCCATTCACATGGGTGGGGATCGAACCCCTAACCTCATGCTTAAGGGAAGTATAAAGTCTTATTTTAATATAGTATAATTAATAGTATTTAATAGCTCATCTACTCATACTCTAGTG